CTCTTAACAAAGAAAGTACTAGACTTGATGATCTCACTAGTGAATTTTACCAAGCAATTAAAGAAGAACTAACACCAATCATTTTCAATTGTTCCAAAAAATTGAAAAGAAAGGAATATTTCCAAACTCATTTTATGAGGCCAGCGTTACTCTGATATCAAAGCCAAACATACTCAAAAAATCTACAGACCAATATGCTCTATGAACACTGATGCAAAAACCCTCAACAAAATACTAGCAAACTGAATATGGCTGCATGTTAAAAGCATTATATACCACGACCAAGTGGGATGGATTCTTGGAATGCAAGGATGGTTCAACATATAAAAAATCAATGTAATACACCACATATTAACAGAATGAATGGAAATAAGCACGAGAACATCTCAACTGACACAGAAAAAGCATTTGGCAAAATGCAACATATTTTCATAATTAAAATATTCAAACTACGAATAGAAGAAAATTATGCCAACATAATAAAAACATTATACCTAACACTACACCCATACTAAATATTGTACTCAAGGTAAAAGACTGAAAGCTTTTCCTCTAAGACTAGGAGTAAGGCAAGGATGTCTGCTTTCATCACTTGTATTCGACATAACACTAGCTGAATAGCTGAAATTGTAGTCAGAGCAATCTGGCAGGAAAACAAAGACAAAATGAACATTCAAATTGGAAAGGAGGAAGCAAAATTACCTATTCACAAATGATATGATCTTATATGTAGAAAATCCTAAAGATTCCACAAAAAAACTGTTGGAATTAATAAATAAATTCAGCAAAGTAGCAAGATACAAGGTCAGCACCCAAACATCAATTACATGACATTTCTTTTAATACTGAATAATCTAAAAAGGAAATTAGGAAGGCAATTCTGTTTACAATAGCATCAGAAAGAACAAAATACTTAGCTATTAACTTAATCAAGGAGGTTAACAGACTTCTACAATGAAGACTACAAAACGTTTCTAAAAAAAAAAAAACAAAAACAAACAAACAAAAAAACCAAAGCCAGAGGACTTACACTTCCTGATTTCAAATTTTACTACAAAGTTACAATAATCAAAAGACAGACATACAAATGGAATAGAATCCAGAAATAAATACCATATATAAAAATAAATGTAAAATAGATTACAACCTAAACATAAGGTCTAAAATTATAAAACTCTTACAAGGAAAAAAAAGGGCGAAAGTTTTGACAATAATTTACAAGATATGACACAAAGGCACAGGCAATAAAGAAAAACAAAGGCACACTGAACTTCATGAAGATTTAAAAATTTTGTGCATCAAAAGATATAATCAACAATATAAAGGCAATTTCCAGAATGAAAATAAAGTTTTTGCAAACCATATCTCTGATAAGTGGTTGACACTCAGAATATGTAAGAACTCCTAAAACTTAACAACAAAACCAAACAACCTGAATTTTAAAATGCGCAGAGAACTCAGACATTTTCCCAAAGGTATAAAAATGTTCAACAAACAAATAAAAAGATGTCCCACATCCCTAACTAATCACAGGGGAAATGCAAATCAAAATTACAATGAGATACCACCTCATATCCATTAGGTTAATTACTATAAAGAAAACAGAAAACAACTGTTGATAAGGATGTGGAGAAATCGGGATCCTTGTGCACGTTGGTGAAACTCTAAAATGGTTTAACTGCTGTAGAAAACAGCATGGTGGTCCCTCAAAAAAATTAAAAACAGAATTATCATAAGATCATGTAATTCCTCCTCTGAGTACAAATCTCAAAGAATTTAAAGCAGTGTGTTGTAGGGATAGTTTAACACCCATGTTAATAGCAACACTATACACAAGAGCTGAAATATGGAAGCAATCCAAGTGCTCACTGATGAATAAATGGATATGGAAAATGTGGTATTTACATACACACACACACACACTACTCAACCTTCAAAAGGAAGGAAATTCTGATATATAATACAAAATAGATGAACCTTGAGGATATCATGCTAAGTGAAATAAGCAGGCCACTATATTATGACAAATACTGTATGATTCCATTGATAGGAGGTACCTAGTCAAAATCAGAGACATAAAGTAGAACTGTGAATGCTAGGGGTTGGTGAGAATGGAGAGTTACTGTTTAATGGGTATAGGGTTTGTTTTAGAAGATGTAAATAGTAAACAGTTCTGGAGATGGATGATGGTGAGGGGTACACAACAATATGAATGCACTTAATACAACTGAACTGCAAATTTAAAAATGGTTAAATAGTAAATTTTATTTCATATGAATTTTGCAATTTAAAAAAGCTGGTAAAAAATGTAACTTCAATATTATTATGAAAATACACCAAACAGAAATGGAAGAATATTCAACAAAATAAGTAACCTGTTTTCTTTTTGTCATATTCCTGAAGGAAGACAGATCATGGTACTAATCCAGATTAAAGGAGTATAGTGTCATGAAAACTAAATGTAATGAGTGTTCTTCGACAGGTCAAAGGACCTATTCTGTTTTTTTCTACAAAGCACATTATTGAAGCAATTGGTAAAATATAATTAAGGTCTGTAAATTGGATACTAGTGTTATATTAATGTTAATTCCTCAATTTAGTCTACTGTATTGTGGTAATATTCTTTTTTTTTTTTGAGTTGGAGTCTCAAGTCATAGTTTATACTAATGATCCAATCAAGATCCAACACTCAGAAGTTTTGTGAAATTTAAAAGGCCCAGAAGCAATAGGATGCTCTGCTCTGGACTAAATGAAGTGCTAATGTAATTACTCTCATGTTACACTGGAGTTATTTTTAACTTCTCTAGTGTACAATTACATAGTAGACTCCTAGAGGGCAGAGACAATGCTATCTTCATCTTAAATATCTGTATGATTGGGACAACTGCAAAAAACTAAATGAAAACCAGTCTACTCTGAAGCACATATAGGAATATCAAAAAAGATATTCACAAATATAAACCAAAAAAAATTTATTTGCTATAAAGCATCTTCAGCAACACATTAATTATATAATAGCTCTTCAGAATTGATAGAAAAAAGGGTTTAAAGTATCTAGTTTATTAAAGTAGAGTATTTACTCTGGGGGTGGAAACAAGTCTCTGGATTTACTGGGATAATATCACAGAAATTACGTAGTTACACTCCCAGTAACCTCCATGGACTTTTAAAGTGCATTTAAAACCTAAAGTGAAGCTAGGCAGAAGAAATCACCCTTTTTCTTGTGTACATACCCTCACTTGTTTAACTTGTTCCTTGTTTATTTTTTAAACTTGTTTCTGTATCTCAAAGAAATAAGAGATAACACTAATTATATGAATAGCCAAGATTATGTGCCTGCTGTTGTGTTGTATGCTTCCCAGGTATTAATTATCCATTCAACTACTATAAAACACCTCAAGTTAGTATTAGTACCCATCTTCAGTGTTACAGATTAGTGAACAGAAGCTCAGTGTGGTTAAACTGCTGAAGTTACATAGCTAGTCAGTGGCAGGACTAGAATTTCACCTCAGGTCAATGTGACTCTAAAACCTGTATTTTTAAAAGCAAGGCTATCTCAACAATTTCCAAGTTACTGGGATGCTAAGTTAGGAACAGTTGGAGTAAATAAGTGAGAGAATCCTGAATAGAAAAGGGCAAGATCTCAACTTAATATAAGAACTTAACTAATGCAAAAGTCTTAAAGGATTACAGAAAACTATTTTAACATTAAAAAGTTGATTGGGTGACAAGGTAGTAAAAATAAACTTTCAATTCCACTTTTAAAAAAATATTGTACTAATAAACCTTACATATTTGAAAAGAGGATATTACAATAACCCTTACACTGCTCACTTGGAATTATATTTTATTTATAAATTCAGTCTCTTCTCTGCAATATAAAGAATATCCATCTGGATTCATCTATTCAATTCTTGGTGGTTTTATAATGGCTTAACTTTTAATGACTTTCATAAAGGGACAACGATTATACAGAGCGGTTATATTATTACAATTATTACAATTCAGTCTTATTATTACAGTAAGACTATAGTCTCTGTAATACTGTAATTTCCCCTAGAATCCTATGTTGTACAAATGTTCCTACTGATTTTCACTTTTTAGGAGAGGGAAAGGGCACTGAGATGTGAATAATCAGTTGATTTTCCCCCCAATAAAGCTTATGTTGAAACAATATTTATGTAGAAAATATGCTTACCTAAATTTGGTGCTACAGGTCAATAACAGCAAAAATATTGATGAACACATTTATTTACATTTTAAATGACACTGAGATCTTTTGTCCAAAGACCATTATTATTACCTTTAATAATACTTTTGACTTTAGTTAACTGTTAGACGGGCAATTAATGGTTCAAGAGACTACCCCTCAGAACTAGTTAAACTCTGAAGATAAAAAATGATCAGATTTTCTGGCATTCAGCTATTATTTTATTAACTGTTACATATAATTTTTTAAAACAAATTTTTATCTTAGAATAATTTAGACTTACAAAACAGTTGTGAAGACAGCACAGAGAGTTCTTACACTCCAGATACATTGATTATTTTTAACATAAATGATAAACTAATGATAACTAATTAACTAAGTAACAGAAGAATGAATATTTCTAAAGAAGATAAATATATACTGGAAAACAAAATGCTATATAAAATGATACATTCAGTACAAGACCAAGAGTACAGTAATTTTTACTACCTTGAGAAAATAAAACTCTTTAAAGCAAAAATATTTCTAAAACTGTACTTCATACAAAAGATATAACAAACCTAAGGAGATTAAACATGAAAATAAGTTTAGAATGTGTCCTATTCAGTTACAAAATGGCAAATGTTAAATCCATTTTATATTAAATCCCAAATTTTTAATTCCCTAAAATAACAATTAAAAGCCCAAAGTAAATTATCAAATCTAACAAAAAAACAGTTATACAAGAGCACAAAGAAAACATTAAAAGCAAATGAAATTTTTATAAAGAAAAAAAGAAACTAATAAAAACCTGTGATATGGTGGGTAGGATGACAGTATTCTCAGCAGGGACTGGCAGGACAGGGATCACAGGGACAGTGGGAGAGGAGGGAAGAACAGCTTCTGTTGGCTAAAAATCATCAATGACAAAAAATCAGGAAAAAAACAAAACAAAAGGAAAACACATAACAGAAAGTTGTGCCATAAAGATAAATTATAGTTTTCAGAAATAACTAAGAAACAGGTAAAATATTAAAATCATACTTTAAATAATGATGAAATATTCTCCAGAAATTATTTTAGAAATAATTATACCTCCAACAATAATTTTAATGACTGTAGTTAAAATGAGTAACTATTCTTTATGCTTAAATAAAAATAATAAAAGATAATCACTTACAATACGTCTCCTCTAGGAGATAAGACACTTGATTCATAAACAGACTGCAAAATATTTTTCTAGCATTCAGAATATATTTTGACTGCTTTCCTCTTTGCAAAGAACCGAACATAATTTTATTAGACCATCAGACAGGACAATGAACGGCTATAAATCCGCAGACACAAGAGTTAAAGGACTTCAAAACTGAATTTACATCATTTAAAATAATCTGTGCTATTAACTTCTATTATCAAGAACAACAATAACCTGTCTCAACCAGCCTGTAATTCAACTAGCATTTATTGATTGTCTATTATGCACCAGTCATATTTGGCAAAAATATATTTTAAAAGAGAAAACTCGAGCAATTTAATTTAAACTAAAAAGTTTTAACATTTATGTTTAATTATTTGTTAAAGTAATTAAACATAAATGTTAATTTGGCTTGATTCAATTATTATTAATTTTTTTGAGTTGGAGTCTCACTCTATTGCCCAGACTGGAGTGCAGTGGACACTCCCGGCCACCGCAGCCTCGAGCTGCTGGGCTCCGGCGATCCTTCCGCCTCAACCTTCCAAGTAGCTGGAATTACAGGCATGCGCTACCACGCCCGGCGGATTTTTTGATTTATTGTAGAGATGAGGTCTCGCTGTCAGGCGGGTCTCGAACCCGTGGGCTCAGGCAATCCACTCACCTCAGCCCAAAGGTGCTGGATTACAGGCTGAGCCACCGAGCCCAGGTGATTCAATTATTTTTTAAAAGATATAACTAGACCACAGGAAAAGTGTTTATGTAATAAAACCCATCCCTGTAGGCTGGATTAACTCCTAAATAATTGCTTACATATGTAAGAAAGATACCAAAATCAAATCAAGTAGATAAGAGGACACTGTGCATTAACAGAGACTTAAAACAGGAAGAACAAATCGCTAACCTTCAAACTGTGCTTATCTTCACTGATAAACACAAAATAAAATGGCAATGATGACCTCTCTGCCTATCAAATTAGTCAATCAACATTAACTTAAAATGCTATGTAGTTTCTTCCAACAATGTTGCTGAGACACTGGATATCCCATGCAAAAGAATGAAGTTGGATTCCTACCTCACATCACATACAAAAATTAACTCAAAATGTGTCAACAATCTAAATGTAAAATCTAAAACCATAAAACTCTTAAAAGAAAACACAGTCTTCATGACCTTGGATTTGGCAATGGATTATTAGCTCTGTTACCAACAGCTTAAGTGACAAAAGAAAAAAATCAATTAGACTTCATCATAATTAAAATATTTTGTGCACCAAAAGAAAGTGAGAAAATATTTGCAAATCATACATCTGATAAAGGGTTAACATTCAGAATACTTAAAGAACTCCTATAAGTCAACAACAAAAAGACAAACAATCCAATTAAAAATGAGTGAAGGACTTGAACAGACATTTCTATAAATATACAAATGGCCAAGGAACAAATGAAAAGATGCTTAACATCATTAGTCATTAGGGAAATGCAAATAAAAGCTATAATGAGATGATACCATGTCACACCTGCTAGAAAGGCTATAATGATAACAACCAAAACAAAATAAAACAACAGCAAAGTAACAAGTGGTGGCAATGTGGGGAAACTAGAGCCTTCATACTGTACATTGCTGGTAGGAATGTAAAATGGGAAGCCTCTGTGGAAAAGTTTGGTGGTTCCTCAAAAACACAACTATAGAATTAGCATATGATCCAGGAATTCTATTCCCAGACATATACCCCAAAGAAGTGAAAACAAGAACTCAGATAATATAACCAAAAGGTAGAAACAAATCAAGTTTCTATCAACAGATGAATGATAAACAAAATGTGATATTCTGATACATGCTAGAAGACAGATGAACCTTCAAAATACTATGCTAAGTAAAATTAGTCAGATATAAATGGACAAATATTGTATAAACCCATTTAAACAGTCAGTTTTGTTTATATATATTTTACCACAAAAAACCCCCAAAAAACATAAACCAAAAATCCATGTCAGGTGTGTGGCTTACGCCTGCAACCCTAGCACTTTGGGAGGCTGTGAACGGAGGATCACTTGAGGCCAGAAGTTTGAGACTAGTCTAGGCAACATCTCGTCTCTACAAAAAATAAAAAAAATTAGCCAGGCATGGTGGTACACACCTGTAGTCCTAGCTATTCGGGAGGCTGAGGCAGAAAGATCACCTGAGTCCAAGAGATTAAGGCTGCGGTGAGCTATGATTGTACCACTATACCCTAGCCTGGGTGACAGACTGAGACTTCAACTCTCTCTCGTTCTCGTTCTCGTTCTCTCTCTCTTTCTCTCTCTCTCTCTCCAAGAAAAAGTTTAAAATACATGGCAACTTGTCCTCTTACACTGCTGTTGGGGTAACAAATTAATTCAAACTTTAGGAAAAGCAATTGAGCAGTAAATATCTAGAGTTTAAGTTCTTTGAATTAGCAATTCTGGAAATCTACTCCAAGGAAATAATTTAAAAAGTCAATGCTTTAGCTGGGCATTGTGGCAAGATTGCTTGAGGCCAGGAATTCAAGACCAACCTGGGCAACAGTGAGACTCTGACTCTAGAAAAAGCACAAAAAATTTGCTGGGCTTGGAGGTGTGTCTATAGTTTCTGCTATTCCAGAGGTCCAGGCAGGAGGACTGCTTGAGTCCAGGAGTTTGAGGCTGCAGTGAGTTATGACTTTGCCACTAGACACTCCAGCCTGGGTTACAGAGTAAGACCCTGTCTTAAAAAATGCCAATTTTTTTTTTTTTGAGTTGGTGTCTTACTCTGTTGCCCAGACTGGAGTGCAGTGGCTACTGCAGCCTCGTCTGCTGGGTGCCGGCGATCCTTCCGCCTCAGCTTTCCAAGTAGCTGGAACTACAGGTGTGCGCTACCACGCCCAGCTAATTTTTTATTTATTGTAGAGATTATAAGGTTTCGCCAAGTTGCCCAGGCAGGTCTCGAACCCGCAGGTTCAGGCAATCCATTCACCTCAGCCTCCCAAAGGCATGGGATTATAGGCTGAGCCACTGAGCCCGGCTAAGCCAATGTTTTAATACTAATAAGGCATTAACTCCACGGCTTATATTTGTGGAGTATTCTAAATTTCCAAAGGTGTCAGCATGGTTAAGTAAAAAATAATGATTAAAATAATTGTGTAAGACTGAATATGCAATTAAAAATTATCTGTAAGAACAGTCTGAAAATTATATGGGATATTGTTTATGACATAACATTGAGCAAAAAAGAGAAGAAAAAACTAATGTTAAAAAAGATGGAGGCCGGGCATGGTGATTCAAGCCTGTAATCCCAGCGCTTTGGGAAGGTGAGGTGAGAGGAATGCCTGAGCCCACCATCTTTACAATACATCAAAAATTAGTCAGGTGTGGTAGCGTGTGCCTGTAGTTCTGGCTACTCAGAAGGTTGAGGCAGAAGGATTGCCTGAGCCCAGCAGGATGATGCTGGGGTGGCCATGAGCATGCCACTGCACTCCAGCCTGGGCAATGGAGTGAGACTCCAATTAAAAAAAAAAAAAAGAAAAAGAAAGAAATGTTTGGAAGTTAATCTCTAGGGGTAGGATCATGAGTGGCTCTCTGCACCCACCCCTCACTTCTTTATTGTGAATTCTACTTTTCCAGTTGCTGACAATGAACACATAATGATGTTATAAATGCAGGGTGAGTAATGGGAGATCTACTGTACATATTAAGAATAAAATGATATCTTTTACTCTTACAGTCTCTAGAAAATAAACTGAAAATGTATTTCACATTAATTGTTTTAAAAGATACTACAAATTTCAATGATGTTATAAGAATAGGAGAGTTGAAGAAACTATCCTGTTCAACTCTTCATTTTACAACTGAGATTCAGCGTATAAAAGGAAGGCTGTCTAAACTATGGGAGATTAAAGAATTGCTAGACTTTTGTTACCTGAATTTCTTATTGCCTTCAGAAAGAGATTTTTAAACCACTGGTTTTTGTGTTCTCTTTAATGTTTCTAGTCCAAACCAATTACCAGTTTAAGATGGTGAAAAAGTTCTGAAGATGGATGAAGTAACAATATTTGCATAACACTGTGAATGTACTTAATGCCCTTGAACTGTACGCTTCAAGGTGGTTAAAATGATACATTTTATGTTATGTATATGTTACACGTTTAAAAAGTAAGTTACAAATTAAGCTTCAGTGGGTTTGGCTTGGGATTCTATATTGTTCCTATAGAGAAAACATTCTGAATTCCATATTATGAGCTTAAAAATGAATAGTTTATAACATAATAACCATTTCATCAGGATACTTAACATGATCTTTTAAAAATGTTAAAAAAAAAATCTCATAGGCTCTGACTCCTGATTTATGATAAAGTATGAGAAAAAGGGGTTTTGAAAGAATTGTTGCTGGATCAACTTGATATAAATATGGAAAACCAAATGACTATGAATCCTTACCATAAACCATACATAAAATCAACTCCAGATGGTTTGCAGATATAATTGAGAGAAGTAAACAAAATAAAGTTTCCAGAAGACAATACAGTAGAACACTGTTATGATGTTGCTATAGACAATTTCTTAAGAGGGAAGTGCATGCTGCTGAAGCCTAAGAAGGGTGAGAAGAGCATCTGTGTTCAGGGAGTAGAGGGGTGGCAGTAGCCTGGCACAGGATGTTGGAGTCTAAGTAGGGTGAGGAGGTTGTTCACATGGGCAAAGCAGTGGCAGCAGCCTGATGTGTGT